CCATATCTTGGCTATTGTAAATAACACTGTAATCAACATAAAGGTGCGTATATTCTTTAGAATTAGTGTTTTGGGTTTCTTCGGATATATACCCAGAAGTGGAATCATTGGGTCATAAGGCAGTTTCATTTTTAATTTTTTGAGAACCCTCCATACTGTTTTCATTTTTTAAAAATATGTTTTATTGATATTTTACAGAGAGGAAGGGAGTGGGATAGAGTTAGAAACATTGATGAGAGAGAAACATCGATCAGCTGCCTCCTGCACACCCCGCACTGGGGATGTGCCTGCAACCAAGGTACCTGTCCTTGACCGGAATCGAACCTGGGACCTTTCAGTCTGCAGGCCGACGCTCTATCCACTGAGCCAAACAGGTTAGGGCCATACTGTTTTCCATACTGGCTGCAACAATCTGCATTCCCAATAACAGTGCATGAGGGTTCCCCTTTCTCTACATCCACCCCAACACTGCTTGTTGGTTGATTTATTGATGATAGACATTCTGACAGGTGTGATGTGGTATTTCATTGTGGGTTTTTTTTTTGCATGTCTCTGATGATTAGTGATGTTGAGTATTTTTTCATATGTGTATTGGCCATCTGTATGTTCTCTTTGGAGAAGTTTATATTCAGGTCCTTTGCCCATTTCCTTATTGGATTGCTTATTGGTGTTGTAGGAGTTCTTTGCAAAACCTTTTTAGTTTGAGGTAGTCTCATTTGTTTATTTTTTTCTTTTGTTTACCTTGCCCGAGGAGATATATCAGAAAAAATATTACTAAGAGAAATGTCCAAGATTTTACTGCATATGTTTTTCTTCCTGGAGTTTTATGGTTTCGAGTCTTACCTTTAAGTCTTTAACACATTTTGAGTTTATTCTTGTATATGGTGTAAGAAGGTGGTTTAGTTTCATTTTTTTGCATGTATCTCTATCTGTCCTATTTTTCCAACACCATTTATTGAATAGACTGTCTTTACTCCATTGTATGTTCTTGACTCCTTTGTAAAATATTAATTGAAAATATAGGCATGGGTTTATTTCTAGGCTCTCTATTTTGTTCCATTGATCGATATATCTGTCTCTATGCCACTATCGTGCCATTTTTATTACTACCGCCTTATAGTATGTTTAATATCAGGTAGCATGATAGTTCCAAGTTCGTTCTTCTTTTTCAAGATTACTGTGGCTACTTGGGGTCTTTTGTGGGTCTACATAAATTTTTGGGTTACTTGTTCTAGTTCTGTGAAATACACTATTGGTATTTTGATAGGAAGTGCATTGAATCTATAGATTGTTCTGGGTAGTTTGGACATTTTAATGATGTGAATTCTTCCTATCCACAAGCACAATATATGCTTCCATTTATTTGTATCTTTTTCAATTTCTTTCTTCAGTATCTTATAATTTCCCAAGTATAGGTCTTTTACCTTGGTTGAATTTATTCCTAGGTTTTTTGTTTTTTTGTGTGTGAAGCAACTGTAAATAAGATTGTGTTTTCTTAGTTTTCCTTTCTGATAGTTCCTTATTTGTATATAAAAATGCAACCAATTTCTGATTATTAATTTTATATCCTGCTTCTTTACTATTCATTTATTAGTTTTTATGTGTATGTGTGGAATCTTCAGGGTTCTCCATATATAGTATCATGTCTTCTGCAAAAAATGACAGATTTACTTTTTCCTTTTCAATTTGGATGCCTTTTATTTCTTCTTCTTGCTGACTGCTGTGGCTAGGACTTCCAGTACATCCCTGGAATGGACATCCCTGTCTTGTTCCTGATCTTAAGGGAAATGCTTAAGTTTTTCCCCACTGAGTATGATGTTTGCAGTGGCTTGTCAAATTTGGCTTTTATTATGTTGAGGTATCTTCCCTCTATTCCCACTTTGCTAAGAGTTTTTATCATAAATGGATGCTGGAACTTGTCGATGCTTTTTCTGCATCTATTGATTTGATCATGTGTTTTTATCCTTCATTTTGTTTATGTGGAGTATCACATTGATTAATTTGCAGATACTGTACTAGCCTTGCATCCTGGGAATAAATCCCACTTGGTCATGGTGTATGATCTTTATAATGTATTGCTGGATTCGGTTTGCTAATATTTTGTTGAGGGTTTCTGCATCTATGCTCATCAGGTATATTGGCCTATAATTTTCTTTCTTTGTAGTGTTTTTATCTGGTTTTGGAATTAGGATAATGTTAATACAATGAGGTTGGGAGTCTTCCCTCCTCTTAAATTTTTTGGAGTAACTTGAGAAAATAGGTGTTAGTTCCTCTCTCAGTGTTTGGTGAAATTCACCTGTGAAGCCATCCAATCCAGGATGTTTGTTTGTTGGGAGGTTTTAAGTTACTGCTTTGATTTCATTAGTTGTAAGTGCTCTGTTCAGATTTTCTGTTTCTTCTTGATTCAGTTTTGGAAGATTGTTTGCTTCTAGGAATTTATCCATTTTTTCCAGATTGTCCAATTTGTTGGCATATAGTTATTCACACCATTTTCTTATAATCTTTTGTATTTATGTGGTGTCAGTTACTTTTACTCTTTCATTTCTGATTTTATTTATTTGGGTCCTCTCTTTTGTTCTTGATAAGTCTGGTTAAAGGTTTATCAATATGGCTTATCTTTTCAAAATCAGGTCTTAGTTTCATTGATCTTTTGTATTGTTTTTTTTAGACTCTATTTTGCTTATTTCCAACCTGATTTTTACAATTTTCTACTGTCTACTCACTTTAGGCTTTGTTTGTTCTTCTCTTTCTAGTTCATTTTGGTATAAGGTTAGAATATTTGAGATTTTTCTTGTTTCTTGAGGTCGGCCTGTAATGCTCTGAATTTCCCTCCTAGGACTGCTTTCACTGTGTCACATAAATTTTGGGTTGTTGTGTTCCCATTTTCATTTGTCTCAAGGTATCTTTTGATTTCTTTCTTGATCTCATTGTTAACCCATTCATTGTTTAGTAACATGTTATTTAGCCTTCATGTGTTTCAAACCACTGTGGTCACAGAAGATGCTTGATGTGATTTCAATCTTCATAAATTTATTAGGCTTCTTTTGTGTACTAATGTGGTCCATCCTAGAAAATGTGCCACATGCACTTGAAAAGAAAGTATATTCTGCTGCTTTGGGGTGAAATCCTCTAAAAATACTAATTAAGTCCATCTGTTTCCTTGTTGATTTTATGTCGGGAAGATCTATCCATTGATATCAATGAGGTGTTAAAATTCTCTACTATGATTATATTACTGTTCATCTCTCCCTTTATGTCCTTCAAGATTTACTTTACATATTTGGGTTACCAGGGTTATATCGTCTTGTTGGATTGATTCCTTTATCCTCCACTTGCTGGCTGACTTTAGGCTTAGTCACTAAAAGGGCCTCTGGAGGAACATGAGCTGCACAAGGTAGGTTCTCAGTGAGTCACCAGGGAGGGGCAAGTTGTGTTCACCAGATTGATAGATTCAAACTCAGCACCAGTGCTGGGACTGAGGCCACTCAGCAGAAGTCTCAGGGCACACCCAGACTAGCCTCTACCTGCTGAGTGCCCATGGACCTTTGTGGTGGTGCTGACGTTCTCAGGGAGTTGTCAGGGTAAGGGCAGCAGAGTTTATCACATTTGGCTGTGAAGAGAGGGCTCCGCATAGGAAGGGTAGCACCAGAGAGAAAAATGGCCCCCACCCCAGAGCCACACAACTTGGTCTCTGATATCCAGGCCCAGGCAGCTGACTCCTTAGCAGGCATGAGCTGGGCAGGGCAGGGCAACAGGGAGTGGGGAGGGTGGGAAAGCACAACAGGCAGTGCTTTCCAGACTGATGCAGTATGGAGGGGAATGCTCCACCCAGGAAAGACGACATCTACAGGAGGTGTGGGAGAGGGACTCAATACAGGGACCTGGCAGCTGTCCCTTCAGCTCTCTCCCCGGAGCCACACAACTCTGTCTATCCTCACATGACTCCACTTCACTCTGAACCACACTCCCTCTGCCGGAGCCAAGGGTGAGTGGCTGCAAAAGAGATTTTGTGTGCTGGTCCTTTAAGAGTGCGCCTGGGTTACTAGCAGACTCGGTATCTTCCTGGGTACTGAATCCCTGCTGATTTTCACAGCAAGGTATTATGTGGGCTCCTCTTCCTGGCTCTGGTGCTCCAGGCTGGGGAGCCTGGCTGAGGCTGAGACCTCATGCCCTTCAGGGGACCTTTGCAGCTGAGACATCCCTCCGGATTCTCCACCACCTCGTGTTGAATGGGGGGCCAGGCCTTTTCATTTCTCTGCCCTTCCTATCAGTCTAAATGTGGCTGCTTCTGTAAATGCCTGATTATACAACTTCTGTTCAGCTGGTCTTCAGCTGGTTATTTGGGTTGATTATTCTATAATTTAGTTTTAATTCCAGTTTGGACCTGGGAGGAGGTGAGTGTAACTTCTACCTACGATGCCGCCTCTTGGATCTCCATCTGCCCTTTCTTTTTAAGAGTCATGTCTGTACTGACAAAGCACGTTTAAGTAGTGGCTTGCCCTCAGGGCACAAAAGGCACTGACATCAAACACAAGAAACATTCTAGTATGTGCCTCCTGGTCTCAAGACTAGGTCCTGACAAACCTAACCGATTCCTTGTCTGCTTTCTCCCCGTAACTCTCACAGCCGCTGATCCTGGTGTTCATTCTGTATTTATGACCTTCACTTGTTCTTTAGAAAAGACTTAGGGCTCGATGTCTCTCCCTTTTATGAACCGGAGGGCTGTCTGCCTCAGCAATGTGCTCAACGATGCTCACCCAGCCAACCTCCCAACATTCAAACAATACTCCCTGAACCTTCTCCCTTCCTGAGAGTGCTTCACCGCCCTTTGCCAGGCTGGAGCTTAGTACAGACGTACAATGGCTGCCTTTCCTTTTCTTCAGATATCTTATTACAGAAGAAAACCGTAAGGCAGGTGTGGAGTAGTGTGGAAATCAGGAAAGTTCCTCAGGAGATTGTGTACATTACGGTTTCTGCGTGTCAGAAATAAAGGTACTCACCACCTGACCAGTAGTCCATGTTCCATGAAGTTTTTCAGGTTGGGAAGGGTTTGCCTCAAGTCTGGAGTCCCAAGTCCATGTTGATATCTTAGCTGCAAAGGTAAAAAAAATAGAGTTAAAAGAAATTCTGGCAGATACTAGGCAATGCTTCAGAAACATGATCTATTAAACATGTTGGTGTTTTTTTACTCAAAAACAGGAAATATGAATGTATGATCCCAGTATCATCAACCACACTTTTGGGATGGTGTTTAAAAGTACCCCTTTCATTTCTTGCTCCTTTGCCCCCTAAAGTTGGAGAAGATCAAGAATGACTAACTGTGGAAGCAAAATATTTCAAAGACCCTTGTAGGATTTGCAAACATTGATTCCAGGGACAGAGACCATAAAACCAGTGTTTGGTTTTAGATACTGAAGGCTGGTATTATATACTCTGAGCACATTCAGCCCTTCTTTTGCTGATCCTCTCTTTGTATGAGCAAGGGTAAGAATCATGCTGTATTCTTCAGATAGCTGAAGTGTCTGATACAATGCTAGTGCTCAGTGCTTATTAAACAAATGAGTGGCACTTTTGACAGAGGATGTGCTCTTGTATCTATAATTTCCCTCTTTATGCAGAACAAGAGCACAGAGCCGAAGGACTAGCATGAGGAAACTACGGTCTGTGGGCTTGATCTGCTCTTAGTTTTATTTACTTCTGCTAGAGGCTGCTTTTTAAAATTAAGTATCCTTCTACGTTCCTTGAGTATCTTGCTAAATGTTTTCATCTGTCTGTTCCTTGCATCCTCTCACTCTGTCTCTGAATACCATCTGCTTCCTTAACTGACCATAATAAGATCTGAAATAGGTACATGTGCACATTCATACACATGCTCACACACATAATATCAAATACACAGTAAGTGTGCAACACAGCCCGGCAGAAATGTATTTTTCAAATGAGATGATACATATGCAAAAAGCACTTTGTAACTGTATATTGTACAAATGTGAAGGGTCATTAGTTCTGAAGTTTTACTTTTCTAGTACTTAACTTTTATTTATTCATTTGAATTTTTGTGACTTTATTTGAGCCAAACTGTCGACAATTGCCAGGAAGCAGAATCTCAACGTTTGGGATAATGATCTGGACAATGGTGTTTTTTTCACCTTGTTTTATATATTACATCAAAGAGGAGACGTATGTGGGTTACATGAAATCCATTGGTGATAGATTAGGGAGGCGGGAGAAAGCAAAGACGGGGGTAGTAATCTCTGGGAATGGATAAAAAGTAAAATGATAGACACATACTTCTTTTACTTAGGTGAGTACAGGATAGTTAACAGTCAACCATTAATCCTATATAATAAAAGCCTAATATGCAAATTGTCCCCTCGATGGGGAGCTCAACCACTAGCTATGACATGCACTGACCACCAGGGGGTGATGTGGAACATGGCAGGTGTCAGCACACGTCTTGCTGGCTACCTCGGGGTGGAGGTGATGGGGACAGAGGTGCGGTGAGAATGCAGGATGTCTGCTGAGCTCTCTCTCACTCCCCCTGCTACCTCCCCCACCCTCCGGGAATCCAGGGGTTGCATGCCGGGGAACCCCCATGCTCAGGTGCCGGGTGCCTGCGAAGAGCCCGCCCTGCACCCCCCCTGCCTCTTTCAGGTGAGTCGGGCTGCAGTTGCTGGGACCATAGGGGCCAGTCAGGCTCCCTGTGGGTTTGAGCAGGAGTCGGTCTGAGAGGCGGGCCGGGAGAGAGCGTGCTGCCCGCCTGGCTTCTGTGTGGTGCTGCCCGCCCGGCTTCCATGCGGCAGCGCTGGGTGGCCCAGAGGCCCACACTGCGCCCGGCCCACGGCATGTGGCTGCGCTCACTGCATCTCCGCGTGGGGACTCGGGTGCGGTGACTCAGGCGGAGGGGGGCATGCAGTGGCCCGGGGCCCAGGTGCTGCCCAGGGCCCAGAGGTTAGCTGAGACCTGCCCTTCCATGCCAGACCTCATGCTTTGATCGCCAGCCAGGCCTAGGGGCGGCACCCGTGCACGAATTTCATGCACCGGACCTCTAGTATAACAATAACAATGAAGGAATTTATGGTCTCCAGTCCTGGGGCCGAGGTGCATTTGGTTGTGCCCCGAGGGGTCTGGAAAAAGGGAAGTTACAAGTTACTCTGACATGTTACCTTAGATGCAAAAAGACAATAAGCTCAGTTAAGGTAAAGATTGACCTTGTCAGGGAAGATACTGGCCTAGTACATGACTACCTACCATGACAGCTTTTAGTTAAAGTTTTAATTTTAGACCATCCTTTGTAGTTACCTTAGGTCTTTGAGTTTGCAAGACTGTCATGCAGGCCTTCCCTGAGCTTGTCAGGTTACCATGTGGCTCCTTTTGTCCCCATATCCCTCTTTTGGTCATAAATCAATCCAAAGGATGCATTGATGACCAACCTTTTGGGTGGATAATGGAGTCCGACAGTGTCTAGCACCTAACTTTAAAAGTGACCAAGTCAAACATCTAAATATTTTCTTCTTTTAAAAAATAAAACCATGACCAACAAAAAAATATTAAAGTAGGTCTTCCTTTGTTTGTATCTAGTACTCAACTGATTTTTCACATAACAGAGAAGTTTATTCTCACTACAATGAACTTTTAAAGGAAAATGCCAAAACCTAACCGGGTCTCTGGAATACTCACACAATGCAAGGCAGTAGAAACAGAATCTCAAACAGATTGTCAAACTGCAGCAGGAAGGCTGGGGAGGGTTGGGGGGCAGGAGGTAGGGGGGTAAGAGATCAACTAAAGGACTTGTATGCATGCATATATGCATAACCAGTGGACATAAGACATTGGGGGATAGGGGAGGCTAGGGGACTGTCTAGGGCGGGGGGATAAAATGGACACATATGTAATACCCTTTGTAATACTTTAAGCAATAAAAAAAAAAAAAAAAAAAAAATAAAGCCAAAAGGAATTGTGAATATTATTTAAGCCAATACTTTGCTTTTGCAGATGGGGAAACTGAAGCCCAGAAAGGGAAAGTAAACTCTCTAGGACCACAGAGCTCAATGGCAAAGATATTAGTCAGAGCCTCCCTTTCACAACCATGTTACTCCGCCATTTACCCCAGAGTCAGAGGAAAACTGGTAAAAACACTTGAAAAGACAAAAGGAAAGTATTTTTTCCCTTTTCCAAAACTTAGCTTGGTGACCTAAGTCACCTCCTGAGATTTGTTGACCTTGAATTATAAGATCTACTCCATATTAAATGACATCATTTCTTATATTAATATAAAAGCATTTTTCCATACATTGATAAAAGTGAAATGGCTGATATCCCAATATGACATTCCTGAATTCATTGTTTCAATAAAAAAGTGAAATTGTTTACACATGGCATGGAAATTTCACCTGTGATTCATACTGAAAAATATTAAATATCAAAAAACCATACTGAAATAACACTAAGCTATGTGTCCCTGAGCCAGTACATAGTCAATTGCTTGCCCCAGGCCCACAGTGGAAGGTGGGTGTTGAATTCTTTTCAGAGACCACAATGAAAATTTGCCTGCAAGTCTGATTTCAACCAAAAAGGGAAAATGTGGGCATTTTGAGCCTCCACCCAGGCCTTAACTCTTCATTTGCTGCATAGCACAATTATTTTTTATCACAGAAGCTTAGAATGTGACAGCTTAAAGAGACACTGGAGATCATCTTCTCCAACCCCCCTCTTTTCATAATGAAGAAACTAAAAAAAAAAGAAGAAGAAGAAGAAGAAGAAGAAGAAGAAAGAAACTAAGACTCAGTAAAGCAAATGTCCTGCCTAGGTGACAGAGCTGATAAAGGACAAAGCCAAGGTGAGAACCTAATAATAACTCCAAAGTCTTTCTACCACGTCATCCTTTTAATTTTCAAGATATGAGATCAGCCAAAGAACATATATGTACATATGCATAGGCCCTGGACACAGACAACAAAGTGGGAAAGTCCAGGGAGAGGGAGTGGGGGCTGAAGGACAAAGGTCTGGGCGGGGGGAGAGGAAATGGGGGACATCTCTAAGAGTGCTAACAATTAAATTAGAGAAAAGAAATTCACACATAATACAAATACATTAATATCTATAATAATAAAAGCTTAATATGCTAATTAGACCAGATAGCCGAACGACCTTCCAGAAGTCCTTCTGGACATCACCGCAGTGGCGGGGCCCAGGCAGAGGTGGTTAGGGGCAATCAGGCAGGCAGGCAGAGTGGTGAGGGGTGATGAGGCAGGCAGGCAGAGTGGTTAGGTGTTAGAGGTGATGTGGCAGGCAGGCAGGTGAGCAGTTAGGAGCCAGCGGTCTCAGACTGTGAGAGGGATGTCCAACTGCCGGACATCCCCTGAGGGGTCCTGGACTGTGAGAGGGTGCAGGTTGCCATGAGGAACTTCCCCACCCCCCATGCACGAATTTCGTGCACCATGCCTCCAGTTTAAAATAAAGTACATGTACTGTTTAATAAGTTGAAACTTCTATAAAGCACATAATGAAAAAGCAACAGCTCTCTGCTCTTCAGCAGCAACTACTTTTAACCGCTTTTTTCCCATATCTCTGAATAATATACTTATATTAATATTTCTTATTCTTCCAATTTTGGCCATCATCTACCATGTTCTTATAATGAAATATAAGAAGTTAGCTCTCCCATATTACTCTTCTGTTAGACTAACATTTTATCCCCTTACCCACACAATATCTACTTTTTATTAAAGCATACAAGGATTTAACTGTATTCTCCCAAATATACTTCTTCTGCCTCCTCTCAAGATATTCAAAATCACATTTTTGTTAAATTAATATTCAGTGTTTACTTTACTATACCTACAAAAATACTGTTCACTGCTGAGCTATGTAATATACTATTCCCTTTTTTTGTAGTTTTTGTTTGTTTTTCTTAAAGTGCTATTTGCCATTTTTTCCCACTTGTTGAGTACCTATCTTGTTGATAGTACTACTTGTTGAGTACCTATGAACCTATCACTAGATCCTCCCCAAACTAGGACAAAACCTTAAAATCATTCTCAATCTGATTAAAAACACCACATAACCCATCACGTCCATTTGCTCCCTTGG